TCACACAGAATACTACAGTATTTCTCTTTTTTTTTTTTTTTTTTTTTTTTTGCATAATCCGCATACTAATTTTGAGCATTTGTCACAAATAGTATTAGTTTTATTGTCTTTTCATTGTTAGAACCTGTTGTCTCTTTAAAAACTAACCATTTACTGATCACCGCTAGATTTAAAATATTGAAAAACACATGCATTGGCCAACGTCTTGATGCAGATTTCACGGAATATTTCCTTGCCATCTGATCTACAACGTCGACTTCAAACTTTTTGTACTTACAGAAATTTATTATTCCAGGAGTTTTTTCTCATTTTGAGTAATTTCTAATAAAGAATGCAATGTGCTAAGTACAAAAAAAGTACATTTTTGTACTTTTTACATTAGTAGAAAGCAAGAATGATGGTATTGTGTGTCATGAAAGTCGTTGAATGTAATTTGTTTTTCGTTTTCTTTAAGGAATTAAGAGCTTCTCCTTTCGCTCTATTGATTATTGCGGCATAGCTCAAACCATTTTCTTTTAGACCTTTTACAAATTTTAGAGATGTAAAAACGACTTGCTATAATTCGTCCTATCTTGAGGTAAGGCTTTATTAACCGAAAAGTAGCATTTTCGCCAACTTAGATCATTTCATTTGGAATTATATTTTCCTAAATACGTAAATGCGTTGCTTATGCATTTTGAACTCCCATCTACAGCCAACAAAAATTTGATGCGAAATTTATCCTGTTTATTTGGCATATATTGCAAAAATCTACAGCATGTTTTTCATGAAGCAGTTTTCCATGAAAATATTCCAAACATCTGATATAGTGTGAATTTATCAGCTTTCAATCTATCTGATCTTGAAATTTTGAACTCAAAACGCATATAATTTCTAAACATCTGTTCCAGCTCATTGTTGAAGGGAAAAAATTTCACCCCAGTCTAGAGACGGAAACCCCTTTTGCAGCTAAAGCTTCTCGAAAATGGGATATTGCATTAAGAAAGCCAGTTCATGAAGAGAAGTCCCCAAAGTCTCATTATATAGTTTTGATCTTGCCTCCACTTCTGTACATTTCTTTATAATATTCAAAATTTTATCAGTTATGAAAAGTCTCCAGGAAGTTATACGACTGTTATCAGAAATATTTCTTTTGGAGTACGGTTAAGTCACTGATTTTCTTTTAAAATATTTTGAATAGGTTGTCGACTAGAAGAATTTGAACACTGCTAATGTATTTTCCATACAGTTCCATCTTTTGCTTCTTCCAAATCACTTTAAAGGGGTGTGATTGTTCTCCTTTATTTTTTTCTTAGCACTTTAAAATTTCTCTGTTGTTTTATGAACTCTTGAACTGCATTTACTACGAATACTTTTATTCAGCTCACTTTCACTTGAACTGGATTCGGAAGATCAGATTATATCCCCAAGAGTTCTTTCGTCATTTATAACAAAATTTTCATCATCACCAGATGCATTTTCATCGCGGGAATCAGTTTCTGAAAGTTTATTTAGCAATTTCAAAATTTCTTCCTTCAAAAGACTTTTCCTGCTGGGTGCCAAAACTACACGTGTGCAAAACTAGAATGCCACTAATTTTTCTTTCCTCCCGTGCAGTTTACAACAGGGAAAGGATTCTTTTTACTTAGTTTCTAGCATATAACAGAGATAAGAATGTTCTACAATATTCCAGTACACAGATACAGTAGCTTCCAATCACAAAAGCACACACATCTGCCTAGCAGGGCACGCCATATGTGTGGACACCCTCTCTTCCCATTTCCTCTTATTTGTAAAAACTATGTGCAATACCTCTCCTTATACTATTCTTTTATAACTGAAAAATATGCAATTGAAATAAAGGAAAAAGACATTAATCTTTTTCGGCTTAGTTATGACCCCATGGTAGTTCTAGGTATACAGACATGGAAATATAAAAGAAATCGTTCGAATTCAATTAAATTAGTTTTAAGGCATTATACTGAATACTTAGAAAAAGTCCAACAATTTGAAAGCTTAATTTTGAAATATGGCTGTGCAATGAGCAAAAGATCCCGTTGTGGGTCACAGGTGACCCAATTCGAGTTTTAAACTCAAATCTATTCTAAACACCCCATATCTGATAATGAAGTAAAAGTAACTATCCTGTCATTTATGAAATAAGTTTGACTTATCATTATTGTTAACACGATTGGAAAAATAAGACGCAGGACAACCAAATAGTTAAGTTAGATCAGTCTTGCCTCTAAAAACATTCGATTTGAAGATATTGCTTATTCTACTGCATTCCTCTCTTGCTTTTCGTCTCCGGTTTCAATTTCGTCAAAAATCAAAATTTCTTTGACATTAACTCCACTTAATTTTTTATTCTAGACTCGTGCTGTTTATTTATTTCTCGGGTAATATTCGAAAGGGGGTACATCTAACAGCGTTATTAAAAGGAGCGTTATTCAAAAACATTGCAACTTCATTGACAAAAATTAGGACTTAGCAAATTTTTATAAATATTTTAGCTTATTAGTGTACATTTGTTATGTTAATTATAACATAACAAACTGTTAAAGTTCGAATTCAATACTGATAAAATATATGCATATTTTTTAGTTTCATTTCTTTTATCTTTACATTTCCTTATTATAATTTCCTTCGCTTGCATCATTTTTAAAAACGTAAAGAAAACGTATATATATATATATATATATATATATGTAATATATTCTGTAGTAGAACGCAGGCGGTTAAACTCGTAATTAACAGCGAGAATTTTGATGGCGCAGGAGTGTTAATCCATAATGAATAGGAAATTAGAGGCCAAGGCAGATTAAATCTTCATCTTTTATTTCAGCATCTTGCGGTCACATTAATTGTGCAAATTTACAAGAGGTTTACATTTTTTCATAACTTTGCAGTAAGAAAGAAGCAGCAGACAGCAGTACAGCTAGGCCAAAGCTAGGCCAATCCATTGAGAACCAAAACTAACTCGGTCTTAATTCAGACTGAGTTAGTTTTGGTTCTCAATGGATTTTGCTTAGGTAGTTAATATATCAGTAAACTTACTATTCGTTGCTTAAGTTTTGGTTCCATTTACATCACCAGAATTATGCAAGAGTCATATGACGTATATTAATCTAGAAACGACGCAGTGCAGAGACAGGTTACTATTTTTAGAATTGAGAAGGGAAATGTACGTTGCTAATTTAATCTTTTACATATTTTCTTTATTTTTCTTACATTATATATATATATATATATCATCATCAAAATATAGAAAATTATATATGTAGAATATAAAGATATAGCATACATAAAATCTATATTCTATCATCTCTCTCTATATATATAATCAAATTCCTAAATTTAAAATTTGAAAAACGTCCAAAAAAATCTGGCATTAACTGTAATTTTTAAGCTTGTGTTTAGATCGTGTTTTTTAAGCTAGATATGATTTTTGTAACCTAAACTGATAAGGCGGTTTCAGTAGGATGACTATAAGGCAATTTAATGTTCATATGTAATTAATTTTGTTTAATATCCCCTCTTAATGTAAATATTCTGTTGTGAAATATGCATCTAATTTATCAGTTAGAAATGACTAATCTAGCAACTTTCCTTTTAACTAATAAAACGGCCATTTTCTTATATAAGATGTATTGCAGCTCGATTACGCGAAGACTGTCATCTTTGTTACTGTATTTTTTCCTCGCAACATTAGGCCAGAATTAGTTTTAATCCTAAGCTTGCTTTTCTGATCAGTAGCCATTTTATGTTTTCGAACGACCTTGTAAATTCTGACAGCAACGACGTCACGTGTTTACTCATGCCAAAATAGTACGCATTTTTCAGAAAACTCTGTATAAATATATATGTAATCACCCATAAACTTGCACCTGATAAGTTTAATCATCTCTATTTTAAAATATCTAACCATTTCTAGAACAGGAAAAAAGATTCCAAAACCATGGTCTCTGTGTTTAGTCTATGAAACACCTGCGTAATATGGAAATTACAACTGCGGTACAGTGAATAGCGTTTTCACAAAGGAATTGTGCATGTTGTTACATTTCTTTCCGCGTGGGATCTAGAACTATTATATTCAATATTTCTAGGAAAATGTAGCGTAATATAAGAGTATGATGTCGTATTAAAATGCAAAGAAATGAAATTTTATGCAGTACAAATTTTATATTTTGATAATCAGTGACTGCAAATATCATCTGGTATGAAAACAATTCACATTTTCCAATCAAAATATTTTAACGCATCTCGTTCCTTTGTTTTATGAAGCATGATTTATAACCATAATCAAGTATGCTTTGCAATTTTCTTTTAATTTTTGAAGTCATTTAATATTGCTTGCAAACAGAACAAAGAAGTTCTCTTATGTAAAGCAAAATTATTAACATAATGTTTGTAGCAATTTTTAAGATACTTTATCATTTGCGATATGTTTGATATTTTAATTTCGTTCGCTTTTTTGAAGACTTTGGACAGTTTTAATAAAATTCATTATCTCAACCTCTCCATGGACTAGATGATCATTAACTATTGTAATCATGGTCAACTTCTACATTTGTTATTTATATGATTTTTCTTTGTTTTTTCTGATAAAAAGAGTGCTGGGGAAACATCCTAAGATTTCTCGGAAATATATGAAATGTAAAATGTCTGTGAAATTTAATATGAAGAGCATTTTTTCCACCTTTTAACAAATCCTGGAAGGCATTACTCAAAAGAGTAGCTCAAAGATAAGCTACACATAAATATTAATTTGTATTTTTGTTCTTAATATTATTAGTGATTATAGAGTTTTTCCTTTTCTTTCGTCTTGAAAAAAATGAAAGTAACTGTAAAAGTTAACAAGTTTGAATTCTCAAGTTTTTAATATTGATCATTCAGTTTATATTAACGCGTAAATGTTTAATTTACGCAATTTAAAATTGCAGATTCATTAATAAAAATATGCTAAAAAATAGCGTTTTTTAAATCTAGGTAGCTTTTGAAATACGGGTTAATGAACTTACTTGGAAATACTTTCTGCCTCTAATATCCGCTGCGCTAAATTACCAAGGACTTGCAGAGTTTCTTTGGGATTGTCGATCTCCACTACTGATCGCTTGTATCTGAAAAGACAAATAAACATTTTATCGATAATGTTATGTGACGTAGAGATATTTGGAAAAACATTGTCCGTATAAGATAGTATCTTTTGAAAAGGTAGTATTGTTCACAGGAAGTTTATTCAGGTACCCTGTCATTATTATTAACGTTTTATAAAACAGAGAGGTATCTAATATCGATGTGTCCCTCTATTTGGTTTGAAAAAGGTACAGAATATACGTTATATATCTGCACTTTTAAGAAACTACTACGTGTGAATATACATTTCATAATTTGATTGTACTCGTAGTTTCTTTTCTTTCAAATGTTGCAATAAGTTGCATGTCAGTTGAAATGAGACTAACCAGCATTATTAAATAGCGTTTAGTTATATCTAAAATTAAATAATTAGAGACCTTTTAATTTTAAATCATGAAATGACAACAATATGCTCATTTTCATGTTGAAATCATAATTAGTTTTAACCAATATATATCGAAAAAGATATCGAAAAGAAATGCAAACGATGATTCAGTCCATCAAAGTTAAAAAAATTCAGAAATTTGCAAAAGTTAATTAAAATTTTGTTTTAATTATTTAACTAGATCTTATAATAAGCAATTACTTGATTAATGAGAGTTCCTTGCGTTTTCAGTGATCTGCTCTCTCACAGTTTCCTGTTTATAAATTAAAAAAATGCATTCAACTTACGTAATCTTTGTTTTTATTTATTTTGGCACATTTTATGCGTTTAAACATTTCACTAGTACTTTGTATACAGATACGTATCTTATTATTTGGCTTTCATATGCATTCCTAGATAATATGGTATAGATTGATTCATAATTCACGAGACCAGCTTCCGTCACCAATACTTTTCAATAATGAAAGTTATCACAGGAACGTTACTTCTTAAATATACTATTCAAGTAAGACATTATATACAAGGTGCACCTAAAATCTATATATATACACTGCTCGTTATTAAAATTGCAACACGATGAAGGAAAGAAAATACAAAAAAGACAATGAGGCATAAAGATAAAAGGAATAAAAGAAGTGCGGCATAAAGGTAAAAGGAATAAATTTATAAGAAGATTAAGGTTTTACAGGGGTGCGAAGTTACTAGAAATAGATGCCAACCTTGGCAGCTAAAACGGCCCTTACCCAGTTAGAGCATGGAGTCGAACTGGACTTGGATGACAGAAACGGACACATTCCATACTGCTTCAGTCTATGCCACACTTCATCAACCGTATTAGCTGTAGAAGGGTGGCGGGACAGACTCTCAGCAACCCAAGATGGGTAACAGGTCTGAAGACTGTGCAGGCCAGGGCAGCAATCGAATACCCTGTGTATCGAGCAAGGTGAGAACACGACGTGCCCAGTGACTGCCCAAACCATTACACCAGGTGCAGGAACCCTATGCTCATGTCGAATGCAAACAGGCGACGTGCGGTCTCCTCCGAGCCTGCAGACACGTATACGACTATCAGAATGCTGTACGAAGAACCAAGACTCGTCTGAAAAGACAACGTTTTGCCATTTCTATATCCAGCTTTGACGATCGGCGCATCAGAGGCACTATCTCTCTCCATGCTGTATTGTCAAGGGAAGCCGTATACGACTATCAGGATACTGTACGAAGAACCAAGACTCATCTGAAAAGACGACGTTGTGCCACTTCTATATCCAGCTTTGTCGATCGTCGCATCAGAGGCACTATCTCTCTCCATACTGCATTGTCAAGGGAAGCCGTATACAACTATCAGGATACTGTACGAAGAACTAAGACTCGTCTAAAAAGACGACGTTATGCCACTTCTATATCCAGCTTCGTCGATCGGCGCATCAAAGGCACTATCTCTCTCCATGCTGCACTGTCAAGGGAAGCCGAAGTAATGGTACTTGTATTGATAGTCTACGCTGCTGCAAACGTCGACGCACCGTACGACCAGATACTGGAAGTGCTGCAAACATGCCCATTTCCTAATTAATTTTTGGACAATGTTTCAGGGCTGACTTCCCCGTATATCTGTCCTCTCAGGCGTCAGTCATGGGAGAGCATTAAGATCCTATATGCCGTTCAGTATGACCCTGAGCAACCCAGGTGCGACGGGTAATATCACGGAAGGATAATCCACACTTTAGTTAGACAACGATCCTGCCTCTATCCAAATTCATTAAAAATGAATATTTTATCGTATGAGGAACGCAGTTTGCACGAAATTCTCTAGATGAATTTAGATTTTCAGCAACAGAAAAAAATCATAGTTCAACCTTTCGCCAATAGGCGGCGCTACGCTATTTTCTTATTTTGTAGATGATAATTAATGAAGCAAAGCTTGCTTCTAGACACTAAAATTCTTTCATTATAAGTTTTTCATATATCCTGCAATACATGCAATCACACCATTCATCCATGTATGTAGTATCTTGGTCTACGAAAGCGACATTGTGACAGACAACATTTTTAAAATGTGTTAAAAATAACGCGCCGCTAGTGCATACGTTGAATTTAGATTACCACGTAACTACGATAAAGGAGGCAAGGTAATAAGGTATGAATGATAAATCCGTCTCTCGTAGCCGTAAATGTCCGTATAAAGAGCGGTTTCATAAGCTTGCTGCATGATGAAACTGGTTGGTTTGTGGTTCTTGAAATTTCCGGAGCAGTGCTAACATTTCTCGCTTCTATATGTAATAAGTAATGCTAGATGGTGCCACAAGGTCTGCACTGTATTACGTGGGATTTAAAGGGCGACTGGGAATTAGGGAACTCAATCGCTAAATTCTGGTGGTGAAGAATCATCATTCACCAACTTTTAGTTCGGGCGCCACTGTGGAGTCATTGCTATTTTTGAAGAAGTAGAGATTAAAAACGTGCAATGCCCTCGCCGGGATTCGAACCTGGACTTCTCGAATACGCGCCAAGTATGCTAACCTTTACACCACAAAGCCATGCTGTAAGAAGGGAGGAGATACCTTATATAATCTTTTCGTCGTCTTGCGTGCTTCTTGCATTTGAGTTTTCATGTTTTTTATAATAACCATGTTCTATAATAACTTTATAATGCCTTAGCAACAAGCTTGGAAGTTTCAATTTTAACTTCATTTTATTTCATTGCTTATTGTTGCTCTGCTTATATTGTACAATTCTACTTCACCAATCCAAAGAGGGCAGAGCCTCAATTCGTTTTCTGCTCAGTTTTATTTATTCTTCCTCCTCAATTCTCAGAAATGCTGTATATCAGAACAAGATTCCTAAATTTCAGTTCTGTTGATGGTGACAAAAATAACACTTTAATTTTAAGTGATCTTTCATGTAATAAATGAAAGTATTCGAGTATCCATACATCTTCTGAACATTTCAATTATCGTAATTTAATGGACAAATAAAACTTAAATGTTTCCAAGGCGTTATCTCTGCTCATTTGAGTCCAAAACAGCCATTACTGAATCAATATCCATTATATGCTATAGTTATACGTATTTACATCTGTATTTAATATTTAAAGCGTAGAAAATGGAAATAAGGGACTTTGTTAGGAAATCCAATTCACCTGAGGAAAACTGCTTAAACTCCCGGCGGTAAACACGCGCGTTAGTTTACTTGGAAATAAACTAGAAAATAGCTAATAGATTTATCTATTCAGGCAGAGATTATCGAAATGAAGATGGATTTAATTATATTCACAGAATATTTTATGAAACAAGAAATATAAATCTAAAAAGCCTTCTTCATTACACAAAGGTAATAGAGTGTTAGGCGGTTAGATTTAATTTACCTCTCTCAGAATTGATTGCTACATTTTTAGTAATTTATGATCGTTTTCTTCTGTCATTTAAATCCCGTTTCTTACAAAGAACAAAATTATCATTGTTTCTTTTTATTAATTAGAGGAAAAAGGCATGACAATTTACATATAATGGGCACGTTTTCAGGAGCATTGCGCTAACTATTTTAATTTTGCAGACGATATGAATGTGATTTTTTTTATTGCTCACACTTTTTACGCCATTGCTGTGTTTCTCTTTGCTAATTAAGTAAAGACAAGTGTTCTTCAGTTTTTAATGGTTTCTGCGACGACTTTCTAACCTCTTAACAGTTTTCATTTATAAACGCATAGAGACATTAGGATTTTTTTGAAGCAAAAGAGGTTGAAAATTTAGCAACGCCTTCGCCGGGAATGGAACCACGGACCTCTGAAATACCGGCTCAGTGTGCTGATCACTACAGCACGAAGGCACGCTAGGAAGGCGGGAGAAGTATCTTATATACTCCCCATTTTAAAGGGCGACTGGGGTTTTTAGGGAATTCAATCGCCAAATCCTGGGGGTGAGGAGAACCATCATCCACCACCTTTTTTTAGTTCGGGCGCCACTGTAGAATCATTAGGATTATTTGGAAGCAAGAGCGATTGAAAAATTAGCAACGCCTTCGCCGGGAATCGAACCACGGACCTCTGAAATACCGACTCAGTGTGCTGATCACTACACCACGAAGGCACGCTAGGAAGACGGGAGAAATAAACAAATAATCTACTCTAATAATCTTTTTCTACTCTTAATTGACTTCTAATTATTCTAGTCTTTACTTGCTTATTTCTCTCAATTCCACTTGTTTAAATTTCTTTTTATTAATTCACAACATTTGGTCATCCTACGTGGATGACGAAACACGAATTGAATAATTGAAGAGTTAGGTTTGGAGACAATTTCCCCTTGAATAGTCTGTCTCCTGCCTGCTTAACAATTATTCCCTTATGAATTTATATAAATTTTTAGGATTAGAACATTTATTGGAATTATATATTATACATTTATTATATATTCATGGATTTTGATAATTGCACTTGATTTACATATGCTCTCAGAATTTAAATGATATTGTAGATTAGTTCGCAGCAATAATTAAGCATTTATTTGTAAATTCAATTTCATTAAAAATTTAAATAACTTTAAATTTTCTTTTTACGAATAGAGAATGTTTGTTAAACTATAAACAAATAATATTGTTACG